AGCTTCCGTAAACACTGGCCCCATCCCAGGCCAGTCAGGACCCCAAGCTTCTTTGCTCATCATGGGCATCCCTCGCAGTGGGCCCCCGGCCCTTTTGACCCTTCTGGTCCTGGCCTCAGCATTGGCCAGTCAAGTCCCTCGGTTGGGTTTAAACCTCCTGCCTGCACTTAGGGATTGGGGTCCCCTATTCCTGACTCAGGTGTTTCTGGAAGTGTGCCTGGCCCTGCAGAGTCACTCCCCCAGCAGGCTCAGGCGCCTCCTGAAGCTTACCTGGCCTACCCTGCTTTATGGTATGTGGTCACCCAAAGGTGAGGGCTGGGGTTAAGGTGCCCCTACCCACCTTTCACTGGGGTGATAACTGGCCTGGCATTTCCTGGGGGCTCCCACACCACTGAGAGCCCCACCAGGCCACTCATTCCCAGCAGGGTGCAGTTTTATGTCATACCCAGGACCAGGAGCCTCCAAACCATCCCCTACAGATCCTCCCTTACCTCCAGGATGTTCCAACCAGCCCTGCAGCCAGGCAATGTTATTGCCTGCCTGCCAGCAGCAAACTGCCCTGTTTATATAGGCAGCCATGGATCTAAAATGGCTACCACAATTAAGCATCTGCTGGCTACTTGGTTTGGCCCTTAAAGTGAAAGGCACCCACAGTGTCCTGCCACACCCCTACCCGCCTTTCACCAGGGAGGTTTGTGATCCTGGCATTTCCTGGGGCTGCTGCGCCACCAGCTGTCCAACCAGGTCTCCCTACCCTGGCAGGGGGCAGTTTTGGGTCATGCCCAGGACCTGGGACCTCCTCCTTCCCCATAGCCCCAGCTCACACCTCCAAGTTCATCCTGGCACAGAAGCTCAGCAGGGAGATGTTCTTCCCCTTCTGGCTGGTGATAAACTAAACTGCCACCTCCAGCTCTGAGAGCAGGGCATTAAATGGTTCTGCAAGCAAATAAAAAAAGCAAATAGATGTGGAGTTAGGAGGGTGGCACTCACTCCATCTGCATGTGGAGCTTGGGAACCCCCAGCAGTGGGAGATTCACCTTCAGGAACACCAGCTGCTCCACCAAACCACGATCCAAGGAGGTGTGGTGGGGTGTCACAACATCCCCAGCAATGCTGAACACCCTCTCACTTGGAACACTGGTGGGTGGACAGGACAGGTGTTCCCAGGTAACCATGGCCAGATCCTGCCATACCTGGCTGTGGGTTGGCCAAAAGTGGGTTGCCCAAAAGGCCAAGGGGTTGCAGTGCAGTGGCTCCATGGCCTTGGTGAGATAGGTAGCCACCAAGGCCTCTGCGCTACCTGCTGGATGGCGGTGTCTGGTGCCTCTGGACCCCAACATTGAAGCCATGCTCTTGTCCCACATTGGCAGTGGCTGTGATGGAGGACATGGTGCTTGGAGTGCTGGCACGGGAAAGTGGATCCCCCTCTCCCACGTCCCCATTCTGCCATTCTGCCTCCCTAACTCTGTTCACCAGCAACTCTGTCCAGTGATTGAGGGTTTTGCTGCTGCAGATGCTCCCCTTCACCCTTGAATTGCACATGCCCACCAGCATGTGGACCATACTGGACCGCAACAGATCCAGCCATTTTTTGATGCCCTCCTTCAGCCGCTTCACCCGTGCCTGCACTTCTGGTGGAAGTGGCTTGCCCCAGTCAGGAACAGTGATCCCCTGGAACTTCTCCATTTGATTCCCAAGTTCCCTCACTATGGGGATCACTTGGCTAAGGAGGGCATCACCAGCGCTGAGGCTCTCAGTGGCCTTGAGGAACGGCTTGAGAACCACCAAGATTTGAGAAATGGTATCCCACTCTGCTTTGTTAAGGGGGCCACTGATCCCAATCTCCCTGATCAAGGCCATCTCATGGATGGCCTTCTTTTGCTTGACTAGCCTTTTGAGCATCAGGTATGCGGAGTTCCACTGAGTGTCCACATCCTGCATGATTTTGTGCTGTGAGATGCTCAGGTCTGCTTGTTTGTCCTGCAGCATCTTCCCCCACTTGATGCTGTGGTGGAAGTAGCCCACAACCTTCCTGCATTTTTAAATGACCTGGCTGGTAGTGGTAGTGACAGCACCATCACTGGGAGACCCGTCCCCCTCCAAGGCATCCCTGACTATGAGGTACAAAGCTACCTGTGGCCCTGCCTTGCGCAGCTCCTCCCTCAAGTACTCACTGTATGCCTTATATAGGGAGGTCACCACTGTCCTGCTAAAGGTGGTGCATGCAGGCATTTGGTAGGATGGGGCCATGAGCACCATGAACCGCCTGAACCCTGGACGTTCAACAAAGAAGAAGGGCTGGCCATCCAGAGCAGTATATCTCTAATGCTCTGGGTGACCTTGCTCGCCTTGGGAACATGCCCCACTTTGTCTCTGGCTTTCCCCCACTGGTCCAGCATGGCCTGCCTCTGTTTCTTGGGGACAGGGGTTTGGAGCGAGAGGGGGACTTCTTTTTGGGCATGTTTCCACTGATGCCAGGCTGAGGAACAAAGGCAAGGGGGTGCTGCCTCCTGAGATGCAGCAGCATCACTGTGGTGGTGAAGTGTTTTTCATCCTTGCCCCGGCTGATCTGCTTTTGGCAGTGCTGGCACATAGCATACCTAGGATCATCTGCCACCTCAAAATGATCCCAAACTACACTACCTACCCACTTCTGGGTTGAGAGTGGGGATCCTGCCCTATCCCCCTCCTCACCAGGCATACCTCCTCTGCTCGCGCTTGTAGGGAGGCAGTTAGATGGGCCAAAGCTACCATGGAGCTAAGGATGGCATCCCAAGTAAAGGATAACAAGAAATTGTTTTTTAGATATATAGGGAGTAAAAGGAAGGCCCAGGGAGGAATAGGACCCCTACTAAATGGGCAGAAGCAATTGGTGACGGACAGGGGGGACAAGGCTGAACTCCT